TTGGTGAGGCAGATTCTGGCAGAATATGTGATTTCTGCTGGCAGCCTGCTCCTGGCTTACACGGGGCTCAGCCCTCCGGGGAAGATGTTGCAGAGTCTGATGCGGTGCCCTGTGGGAAAGCCAAGGGCTGCTGTGACTTCCCCTAAGCTCTACTTAAAACACAACTCCACCAAACAAGCAATCCTGCACCCTAGGCTCCCTGGGGAGTTTAAGCTCACTGCCTGCAAGGTGCAGGTTTGTCCTGAGGATGCAGGCACCTCGCTTTGACTTCCTGCAGTGCAGCTTTTCTTCCTGAATCTCGGCTTGTCAGAGGAAAAAGAAAGCGATTTCAGCAGACACACCTGTGCAATTTAGGATTTGCTTAAGTATCAAATAATAAGAAGTACCAATTCAGAATTCGAGGCAAACAGACACTAGCCCAAAATCTATTACTGGGCTATATATTTTCAGACCAAAATTTTAGATATGAATTAAACTATCCCTTTACATTTTTCCCTTTGCTGGTAGCCAGCAGTGAATGTACTGGATCTTCAGATGCTTTGCAGATTAAGGGGTTTCTGTGGCTTGGGCTGGACCTGCAGTGACATCTCGTGGTCCCCCACGAGGTGAGGTGCTGGCTGCTGAGTGGCACAGCCCCCCCGACCCAAACCTCACCCCGATGCCCCCGGAGCACAGAACTGCTCTGCCCTGAGCAGCACAAACCTCCCTGGGAACTCACCTCCACCGGGGCTGGCTGAATGCCTCGGGGGAAAACAACACACGCCTCCCCCTGCCACATCCCCTCACCTGCAGCACCAGGGGACACTTCAGAAATCATCATTTGAAGCATGAAGGTAAATCAGTCATGAAAATCAGATCATTGCACAAGAGAACCTGTGGGCGGGCTGTACTTGCCTGCAAAGCCTTGGTGCTTTTAACTGGAGAAAAAGAGGGGAGTTAATGTGTCTCCTCCTGTGCTTATGTCTGTCTGAGACTCACATGTGAGCAGGATGTTTTGTGCTTCACCACTTCTTTTGTTGTGACTCTCGAACAATTTCCCACTGGCTTGCTATTGGCATCTTAGCAGGGGAAATTAAATCCAGCATTTCGGTGTTATCTGATTTCACATCCCTGCACACCATTGTCTAATTTCACCACCTACTCATTCTTTTTCTTCACACATAAGTGCATTTAGAGAAAATACAATCCTTGAACGAATACTTAGTCAGAGAAAGGTTGTAATCAGCTCAGATAGAAATCAGACAGCTTATTTGCTTGGAAAAAAAGGGGAAAGGAGGAGGAAATGAAATGGAATAATTTCTCTCCTGTGAACTTAGGGCACCAAAAATTTGTATGACAAAACTGTAACAGGAGAAGAAAAATAGTTGAAAAACTTAACAGGCAACAGTATTCCTGAGCTATTGCACCAAAATTAACATGAAAATCAAAGATCTGATTCATTAGATGTCTTCTGTGTTCATTAAAAAAGAATTGAAAAGTTACAGCAGAAGACTCACGAACTTTTCCCAGAGCAAAATAACTGGATGTCCCCTATAAATCGTCAGATTTATCACTTACCATCAGATAGGCAGCAACTGAGTTGTGCTGGAACAACATGTACAAGGCAGACACCTAAGATCAAAACTGGGGTTTGAAAAGTTGCTCCGTACTGTCTAATGCATCAAAATATGCATCAGGAGCTCCAGTTTAACAAGAGCACTTGATCACAAGTGTCAGGACTACCAACTGTATTTCTTTTTCTTGACAACGTATAACTATTCTAACTTTCTCATAGACATTTTTGCCTTGGGGGCGTTGGTTGATGAGAAGTTTAAAGTGACCCAGCAATGTGCACTCGCAGCTCAGGAAGCCAATTGTATCCTGGACTGCATCCAACACAGCGTGGCCAGCAGGGTGAGGAGGGGAATTCTGCCACTCTGCTCCACTCTGTGACCCCACCTGGAGTGCAGCATCCAGCTCTGGGCCCCCAGCAAAAGAAGGACATGGACCTGCTGGAACAGCTACAGAGGAGGGCCATAAAGCTGCTCAGAGGGCTGGAGAACCTCTCCCATGAAGACAGGCTGGGAGAGCTGGGGTTGCTCAGCCTGGAGACAAGAAGGCTCCAAGGAGACCTTGGAGCACCTTCCAGTGCCTAAAGGGAGCTATGAGAGAGCTGGAGAGGGACTTTTGACAAGGGCATGTCGTGATTAGGCAAGGGGGAATGGATTTAAACTGAAAGAGGGTAGGTTTACATTAAATATTAGGGAGAAATTCTTTACTGTGAGGGTGGTGAGGCACAGGTACAGGTTGCCCAAAGAAGCTGTGGGTGCCCCTTCTCTGGCAGTGCTCAAAGACCAGGTTGGTGGAGCTCTGAGCAACCCAGTCTAGTGGGTGTCCCTGCCCATGGCAGGGGAGTTGGACTAGGTGAATTCTAAGGATCCTTTCAACCCAAGCCATTCTGTGATTCTAAGATTTATGCAAGTTTCACAGCCATTTGAAGCCTAAGACATTATGCAAATATAATGAGCAAACCTTTTTCAGTTAATTTCAAGTATGAAATAAGTCAAGCTTACTTCTGGTTCTTCAGCACTTCTTGTGAGCAGGATGGTGTGGTCAGTTCTCTACTCCAGTAATTTTTTGATTCATATTACTTTCACAGAAATAGGAGAAACCCCATCTGGGGTGAAGGTCAGGAGCTGGTGTAGGGCAGCTGCCTGCCCCAAGTCAGGATTCACCTCTGGCTAACATTTTATCACCAAATATGTGCCTGATTGACATGTGCATCTGAAGAGCCCCCACCTGCAACCTCTTCCAGTGCTCCACAATCTTTCCTGTTACACAGGACTAGTGAGTAATCTAAATATTCTTTGGCTCAATAAGCCTATTATTTTCTTGTTCCAGTCACCGTGAACATAAAAGACATTGAAAAGATGAAAGGAATAAATCGTTCTCTTTGTGTCTTGAGACTTGTATTTCCTTATGGTATTCCGTAGGCAAACCTACTCAGATTCCTTCGATCTTCTTATATTTCTCATTCTCATACACCTACCTTCTCACGTTTTCTAGATTTCTGTTAAATCTCATTGCTCTGAATTGTTTTTTCCTAACAAGCATGACATATACAACCTGCTACTTCATAGACCTGCTACTTCAGCTGGTGCCTCTCCAGAGCAGAACAGAATGAGGTATTTTGCCATATGGGTGATACAGTCTTTATACCTCTCTATGTTCCTCTTCATTTTGCAGCATCTCTGAGTTGTTAAACCAGGTCACAAAACGAATGCCAGACAACTACCATATCTTTTTCAGCTGCACTGACCTTTAATTCTTCTGTGCTCTGTTTGCAAAGTTTCCTGGTTCTGTCCAATTTCCCAGGATGATTTTGAATCCTATTTCCACCCTTTAAAATGCTTGCAACCTCACCTGTCTCAACATGAAACAACACTGTCTTTTTTTCCCTCTTGTATATCCTGTCTGAAACAGATCACAAAACAGACACAAAACCTTGTGTTATACACCCTGCAATCCAACAATCTGTTTATGTTCTTTTTATTCTGAACCCCTCAATAAAAAAAGAAAAAGACACACAATTATTTGTTTGATTTTTTTTTTAAAAAAAGCAACATATTTTTACTGTAAGGACTGGTAAGAAAACACAGAATAGCAAAACTTCAGACCCTCTTTCCCACAGGGACATGCACCTCTGGCATGCACCTTTGAAAAGTGTGTGGAAAGTGTGTGTGAACTGCGTGAAAAACTGTGAAAGTAATCTCTACTTATATAGAGTTTTAAAACTGATTTGAAATTCTATTTAAGACAGTGCTGAGAAAATAAGAGGACCCATCAAATTCTTTAAGAACAATTCTTTTCCTCTCCAACTTGTTTTTCATTTTTACATTAGGAGAAGCAGGATTTGAACCCATCTTAGAAATAGCTCTATATTTCAGTCAATGAAAAGAAGTAGTTATTTCATGTTGTTTAGCAAAGTATTTCCTCTTCTTTCAGTTTCTAAACTAGACTATAAAACTCTGCTTACCTCAGAGTCCACAGCTGGACAACACAGCGCTCTGGGACTGGATCCAGTGCACCAAAGCAGTTGATTCCTACCATCCTGACTCTAAAAAGTGTTAAGGGGTGAATCTGACATCCACAGGGATAAAGTTAATGCAAGATTTGGTAAAGATGTTACAGCAAAAAAATGGTTACCCAGCACTTTGATTTCTCATTGAAGTAAAGAGGGGAGATAAAAACAATACAAAACATAAATACAAATTTAAATTACAAATTTTCTTAGTTCAGATCCTGTCATTTATTCATATTATGGCAAATAGAAGCCCACTTTAAGGCAATTTTTTCACCTTTTTAATTTAAACTTAGCTGCATTTTAAGCAACCAGCAAACTGGGGTTAAGTTGTGCAATAAGCTCACTCTGTTCAGCTACGCTGGAGTCACACCAGTGCTAGATCTGCTCAGCTATTCCAAGGTAAATACCACCTTTGCTCACACTGGCATAAATCCTTCACTCTGTCAGAGGAAAAAGACAGACAACTGGCCAACTCTAAGGAGCTTCCCCAGGGTCCAGCAAGGTATCTTGGATAACTGGGACCAGGAACCTGTTCTGCCTTTATGGACTTCAATAGGAATGGACCGGTTCCTGGTGGCTTAAAGGAGTTTGTCCCAAACAGGAATATCTGTAAACATAATGATAACTCATAGATCTCCTGTGCAAGAAAAAGGGGAAAAGGGCTTATATGGAGCAAAAGGGAAAATCAAAGAGAGAATAGAAACGTGCATCAAAAGAATGCAATACTTCAAAGCAAGTGAAAAACTTTGAAAAAGACTTTTCAGAGAGTTATAGCAGGTGAAACAACAAAGCATTTTTGGCCCCAGGAGATGTCATGGATCCTAAATACAAAGTGGTCTCACAGTGACATGACTAGTTAGGATTCTGTGTAAAAATTCAACTTCTGACCACAGAATTCATTTTGCCATTGCTAACTTCATTTAGATACAAATCAATATTTGGCAGCTCTGAAAATACTTTTACTTCATGTGGTCTTGAAGTAATAATGTTTTAAAGAGTGAAACGTATGAAATTTGGTTCCTAGCAAAGAGTCAAAGAGAAACTCTTTTAGACTGAAAATTACAATTTTACATTATTACACTAAATTCTGTGTGCAAACAAGCCAGTTCATTATAGTGCCACAGATTATTTCCATGACCAGAAATAACTGGTGACCTGAAAAAAATCCACAATCCATACAACCCAACACTGAGCTGAGTTGCAATAGTCTTATGAGCTGAAGGAATACTTCACTTACAACACCGAAGCTGTTGATGAAATAAGTCAGACCCTCCCCTGACTGGGGAGGAGGAACATTTCCCCCTGTACCAAGAGTCCAGTGCTTCAGATGTACTGCTCTTCATCTGCTCCATTTATGAGCAATGACCACTTGCCCCCTTCCTCCTCAATGAAACCATTGCGTCTCGGCAGCCTGTTGGAAGCCAAGGAAGAGAGGGACACTTGGCTAGTCTGATCCCAAGAAGATGGTTTGGAAGAATCCCTCCTCCTGTCGTCCATTCCAATGTGAACACTGATTTGTGAAGGAGTGAGTGGCTTCATGCGGCCTTGAGCTTGTGCCTCGTAACTTTCTGTGTCTGGCTTCTTGTAACTAAGAAGAGAAAGGGAAAATACATTAACAACAAGAGGTCAACATCTGGTAGAAGCATCTGGCACTAGAACAAATCAGAAACTTCTGCTACCTAAATGTATTGAAAGTGTTTATATGGAAAAAATAACTTTATAGATGAATTACACATGTTTAAATTAAGTTTCCTATATAATACTTCACAAACAATTAATTTGTGTGGTGTCAAGAGTGTAAGGGTCTCAAAAAACAGTTACAAAACAATAATTTTTATTACTACTTGAATTTTGAGCCTGACAATTCTCTCAAAACAAAACAAGAACAGAAGGATAAGGGAAGATGATGGAGAAATGCAGAACACTCCTCAAGATGTTTCTGACCTGAGTTTTCAGTCATTCAAGACCACATACCACTGATTGAGGACTCTTCTGTTGCATTTAGGGACATGGTTTAGTGGTGGACTTGGTGGTGCCAGGTTAATGGCTTTTTTCAATGATCTTAAAGATCTTTTCCAACCCAGACTGTTCCATGATTCCATGCACTTCAGGCACAGTGTTAAATAGCTAAGAGTACTTGTCATACAGCATTAAGACATTTCAATAGTAAAAGAGGGACTTTCAAAGTGAGGTTCTTTAACAAAAAATATGAGTTTGCTGGATTATTAGAAGGTTCATAGAAGACAATTACAGGTTGAATGGACTCAATGACACAAAAAATCACTTTCTGATTCAATGTATACTAAGTCAAATCCCAGCAATGGCAAGAGTGTGTGGTCCTCTTGGCGTATATATGCACTATTGTGTTCTTTGGAACCTGAAGTTCTATTCACCTGATCTGAAGCTTCAAGAAAGATTATTGTCCTAAAGTGTACACATTTAATACAGCTTCCATAAGTCTGAAGCCAAATATTTTTTATGGGGTTCTCAGTATCTACCCAAAATGGCCTGTGACGCTCAATACAATCAGCACAAGGTCAAAAGAAATGGAGAATTAAGGAATCCCTTTATGGAAATTTCTCATCCTTTGGATAACTATACACTGAAACCTTTTAGGATGAAAATCCTGTAGTGGTTGGGCTGATTCTGCAAACAGACATATGTATGTATGTCTTTTGTATTTATATATAAATATTTATATGTATATGTCATTGAGCATTTGCAGGATTAGAAACATGATGTAGAAACAGGTTTCCTATATTAGTTCATACTATACTGTACTATACTGGAACACACAGAAGACCCCAGCTACAGCAAATATGTGAAGGTTTGGACCAGTTTCAGATCATGAAAAATCTTATTCTTGAAAGGTGTTTGCTTTTTATGCTGTTTAGAATAGGTCCATTGTAACTGCCAAAAAGGGCACCCAAAAATGTAACATTAAAATGAATAGAACTTGAAAAATCTTGTTGTAGATCAGAAATTGGTTTGCTTCCAAAAGAATAAAGAAAGATGCTTTATCTGCAGCGAGGTGCCAAAGAGTATATACACTGCTTCCCCATTTCTCTTTGGCTAATTTAAATAGATAAAAATAAAACCCAAACAAGTACAAATATTTTTTAAAAAATCTACTGTTACATTATGGAGAATTATCTTTCAAACTAACTGCTCATTTGATGACCAGCAAAACCTCCTGATCATTACTTGGTATTAAACTAGATCTCCACCACATGGGCCCAGGTGACATCCAGTCACACTTTTAGCTGCTAGTTAAAGCATAATGCATACTGTCTTAGTCCAGGTAAATTCATAATAGTGACACCTGTCTCTTTTGAAGCCAAGGATTAGACAGAACAACCCCAAGCTAATGGACTTTCAGGTACTTTTAGGTGTAGAAAGCCCAAAGGAGTGTCTCACTTGAGTCCCAGCCTCAGTACTGCCACAGCTCCCCAGTGGATAAACACAGGACAACTTGCCATTTCAGCTGCAGGGAAGACAGCAGGACAGACACAGAAGAAGCTGCCATTGCAGCTGATCCCATCCAAGGCTGAAGCACGAGGCCAACAGGCATGAACACACCTAGCAAAAACACAACATATGGACATGAGCCAGAGCTGCACATCCCAGCACTCCAGGGCATTTCCACCCCTGCATAACATAAAACAGGTCAGCAGTTCTACAACACAACCTGCTGAGACCTCCATAAACACAGCTAGATCAATATATGTATTTACTCATTTATTTCTAAACATGTCCCTTCCATTGCAAGGGATGACCTTTGCACCAATATGGATACAAGACTGCAGCCACAGGGTAAGACTATTTGTCCCTTCCAGATATTCTGCACATATGGAACACAGCAAAGGCAACAGAAAGACAAGGCAATAGTATGGGAAAAGGAGGGAGAAGTTACTCATAAACAAAACAAGGAATGCTTGAAGTAAGTTTTAAGTAGGAATTTAGAGCATGAGAAGATGTCTGACAAAGGCATAAAGAATACAAGCAGTAAGAGAGAAAATGTGTGATTCAGAGCAGATAAAAGAGGGAGCACCCAAAAGTAGGATGGTACATCTAATCAGAGCTGGGTTTGGATATACAGAAACTAATCCTCAAGTACTGCTATATGAAAAAAGAGCATAGTTTTAATTTCATATAGAAGTATTTATTCCTAAGCAAAGCAAAGAGAAAAAAGCAAAGAGAAAAAAATGCAGAAAAAAAAAAGTATCTATTTTGCCTTCCTTCTACCAAGTTTTAAATAATCTAGGAGCCTGTCTTTGGTTCCTTCAGCAGGGAATCAATCCTACAGGAGGCACCACAGAGATCAACTGTGATGCTGTTTTTGACAAGCTGAGTTCTGGTAGTCACATACCTGCTGCTATGGGTATTCCAAGCATATTATAAATTAAGGCAAGAATCAGATTTATTCGTATTCTTCGAACTGTTCTCTTGGATAAGTGAATACTGGCAACTACATCCAGCAAATCATTCTGCAAGAGAGAAGAGCACGGAAAGTTTTCCACATGCAATCTTCAGAAAACTAAACCAAAATGAAGAGTGTCAGTGATAAAAGAGGACAGGCCAAAACTGTAGTGCTCACCCGGATAAGGACAACATCTGCAGCTTCAATGGCAACATCGGTGCCCGTTCCAATTGCTATTCCAACATCAGCCTTGGCTAGTGCAGGGGAATCATTGACTCCATCACCAACCATTGCAACCTTCTTCTTTCCGTTTTGGAGTTCCTGGACCTTTGCAACCTTGTGAGAAGGAAGAACCTCCGCAAAAACTTTTTTGATCCCAACCTACATATGCAAAGAAAGACACCCCACTGGTGACATGCTCCATGCTGGAAGGGAGAGCCATTTGCTGTTCTAGGTGAAGGGAAAGCAGGAATATCAACCAAAGTGATTTCAAACAGACAACTGAAGAGCAACAAGCCTTTGGCATAAGAACAGGATTGATAACAGCACCCTCCTACTGTAGAGATGCTGGCAAACCATACTCTGCCCTTAGCACGATGCCCTGCATGGCTTCTGGAGCTCAAATGCCCTAGTAATAAAGATTTGTCCTTTAAATACCTTCAGGGGTGGTGACTCCACCACTTCCCTGCTCCTGACGGCCACACCATTGCTGACACAGGCCAGGATGCCATTGGCCTTCTTGGCCACCTGGGCACTGCTGGCTCAATCCTTTTCTGCTGAGCAGCTTTCCAGCCACTCTGCCCCCAGCCTGTAGCACTGCAGGGGTTGTTGTGGCCAAAGTGCAGGACCTGGCATTTCACCTTTTTGAACCTCACACACCTGGCCTCAGCCCATCAATCCAGCCTGTCCAGATCCCTCTGCAGAGCCTTCAAGCAGATAACGCAACACACAAACCATGTGTGATCAAGCAGTTGCAGCAGGGGAACCACACAGACAACAAGTCTCAGGGAGATTATAAAAATAAAGCAGATGGCTGGCTAAATGCTTCTACCCATCCACATCATAACTTATGTGGAGTTGCTAACAATGGCTCTAGTGTTGTAGTTGAAGAACAGATGAGTGTATTAAATAGTGCTGGGATAATACCCTTTGTTTGGCTGCCTCACCAGGCAGAAGCTTTTCACCACATAAGACAGAAGCTCTCTTTTAACCTTTTAAGTCACATTTTACAACATTTTTAAAACTGCTTACCATTTCTTTCCATTGGAAAGTACGTTCCAAAAATTAAATTAAAATGTAGGTTGACACGAACTAAGCTTGTTTAAAACATTCATCTGTGCTCCTGGAACCATAAATTCAAGCTTGTTGCTGAAAGACTTTTTTCCCTTGACAAGGGAAGTTGAGTGGGAAAGCACTTTACCGTAACAGAACACAAAAGTGAAAGTATGAAACCCAATAGGAGGAGGGTTAAAGCATCACACGGAGAAACAAAACAGACCTCACAGCACAGAAGAACGTGCATACCACAGTGCTGGCTGAGTCAGCTGTGTGGTGGGATACCTGAGGAAAGCAAAGTGGCACATGGTAAGATTAGAAGTAGACCAATGCAAAGGGAAAGAGGGAAGTGAAGACTGAGAGATTAGAAACATAGCAATGTAGCAGTAAGAATCTGACTTTTCAGTTTGAGATGGAAATCTCATATAAACCCAACCTCCTTTAAACTGCTATGCTTCTTAACAATAATTCGAATTTTGATGTTACCTTTTAAGATAAGGACAAATCCACACTGTGGATCCCCTTACTGTGTCCAGGACTAGACCTTCAAGGAACTTTGCTTCATCACTAACCCAACAGGTCTGCCTTTCAGTGAAGGGAAACAGGAGGCATTCAGCAACCAATTACTGCAAGAAGCTCCATTACTCTGGAGAAGTATTAACTGCATGTCTTCAGTGGGATTTTAATGCAGCCATTGGCCTCTACTATGTCATATTGACCTGATTTTCAATCCAGTTCAAGAAAAATTTGGCTTCCTTTAATGTATCCAGGGAAACTGCAGTTCCAGGGAAACTGAAGCTCCTGTTTCAAATTCACCGGGGCAAACAGAAGTCTTAGAACCTCATCATGCAGCTTTTTGAAACAGAGCAGATACCTGAGTAGCAATGGCTTTTGCAGTTTTCCTGTTGTCCCCTGTTATGAGCACCACGTCTATCCCCATGCTCTGCAGCGTGTGCACAGCAAGGGCTGCCTCCTGCTTGACAGTGTCTGCTATTGCGATCATTCCGCACAACACACCTGCACGAATAAAAACCCCCTGTCAGAGAGAGCTGTGGGACCAGGCAAAGTGGCAGCAAGAGAACTGAGCTCCCCCTCCATCACGCAGTGGCAGCTTGTGAAATAACACATTCCTAGCAATACTGACACTCATGTCTGCAGCTTTCTCACTTATGGTCTCTTCTTTTTATCATTTGGCTGTTTCAGATAAAGCAATAATCACCTTTGATATTTAGGGATCAGGAAGATGAGGAGGAGAGTAGTTTTTAAACAAGCCTGACTTCTATGTTTTATGGTATGGACAAATATGGTAGTGGGTCAGAGAAAGTGTTGGAATTTGTGCCCAGGTCAGATGTTGAAGTCACTCCTCCCAGAGGAAGCATATAGGGTTGGGTTTTACATCCCCTAGTCTTTCAGGGTTGGATATCTAGTAGAATTACTTTCATTGAGAAGTCTTGCATCTGCCTCCCAGTACATTGGTTCAAATGTGCATCAACACTTCCTTCCCAAGCAAATTCTTTTCAAAATTGCCCTCTAGGAGCACCAAGAATATTTGCTCAGTAAATTAATCACTGGCCTCATTTCAAGTTCACAGGTGTGCTGGCAATCTATCACCATTGCAATAATTTCTCATATCTAGGGATCTGGGATCTCTTTCTGCATGGCATGGAACAGAACCCCCCTGGCAAAATTCATTTAAGTCTAATCCATTATACTTGACTGATCTAATGAATCACCATGTTTATTCACTGCATATTTTGAAACCAGTGATGTGATAGGTTGGTCCATGGTCCTTAACTGATGTAAATTAAGGATTGGACATGGCACTGTATTGGCACTGTTTGTTTGAATAATGATCCTAGACAACAGGGGGTTCAGAAATTAATTCTTGAATTAAAAACTACACAACAAAACCTTATAAACACTGTTCTGTGGTAAAAGCTTCTTTTAAGAACACCTTGATACTTCACAGTTCAGAACAGTTCTGAACTAAAAGATTAGTAGTTTCTTGACACTAAGCCAGTGATCAACTGCTTCAGATTGTTTTCATCCGTTCTGCAGTAGGATTGACTCATATTTGTTAAGTCACCCTAAGGAAGAGCAGTTACCATCTATAGCCACTAGTATGGCAGTCTGTCCTTTCATTTCATGGTCTGTCATTGCATCATTTACATCATTTGTAATATTCAAGCCATTGCGTCGCATCCACTCACGATTTCCGATCAACACCAAGTATTTCTGAGAAGCTGACGGACCTTTGTGCACAGACAAAAAGAAAAATTAGCATCTCAAAAGCTGTGTACACAAGCAGAGAAGAGATGTTTGAGGAAGACAAGTTAGCTGGAGGCACTGCCTGAAGACAGCCTCATAAAAGTTTTCTCTTTCAGGACTCAATTTGTGCCTGTTTACACAGAGAACTGCATCATGAACTTATTGGAAGTACTTGTTCATGTTTGTCTTTGTCAGCTGGCTTTGTTTCTCTGAATAAGTGCAGTGCATGATTTTAGTAAATGCCATCCTGCTTTGTTCTCACAACTAATGACTTCCAAATATAAAGGCTATTTCTGACAAGAAAAAAGTAGTGTAGTTCTAACAAACAATGCACCTCATTATGAATTCAATCCAACTTCACAAGAATCATATAAGCAGGTGAGAAAATATTACATTAGCACCATTCAAAAATGGCACAGTTCTGATGATTGAAGTTCTCCTTCTATTTAATTCTTCTAATAGCTTTCTCAGAAAGGTCAAGAGCACCACAGCCTTCTGAAGAGAACTGATGAGCTCCTTAAGGAAGGCTTTAAGTACCTTTTCTTTCTCTCCTACACTACCAAATAGCAAAGTGGCTTCCAGAGAGTCTGAAACAAATCTGAATGTATTGCCTAATAAAAAATATCAGGCACTAAAATCAGTTTGCAGATATAGGACACTTTGTTTTGCATCTGTTGAATAGCCTTGGGTTTGGGGTTTGTTTTTTTTTCTAATTAAGTGCCTTGAGAGATATATGAACAGGAAACAAAAGGTCCAAGTTAATATGGAACTAAAGGGTAGCATATGAAAAGTTGCAGTTAAGATAATATGCGTTAAAGGTAACTGCTCTAAATGGGAAGATAAAGGCAAACTTTGCTGTCTGCTGGACCATCCTTCTGTCCAAAGGGAGCATCACTGGGTATGCCTTATTGTCTGTGTATTGTATGGAATTTTTAAGTACCCATCACTGTACCTAATTTAAGTTTCTGAGTTGCAGAGAGAGATCAAGAGTTGAGGAGAGAGCTTCAATTTTTGTTAAGGCACATTTTTGTCCCTCCTGTTCTCTGCCTTCTTCTGCCCCATATCCACCTTTCTCTTGTACATAGCCTGGTAGGTGGTTGGTGCTGTTGATTCATTCTCCCTCATGTTACAGCTGGCACAGGGGCAGATAATCACTTACCTGGTGATTCCAAGAGTGTGATCACTGCATTATCTCCCAGAGGAGCACTGCTGTCCCCACTCCTGTTAGCATCCAGCTTGTTGGGACCTTCCTCAGCTGTGCCAAGGATGGCCTCAACTCCTCCGACCTTGCAGCTGATACCACAGCCTGGGACTGCCTGGAAGTCAATGCAGTACCCCAGGCTCTCAGTGCCAAGCTCCTGAAGATGTAACCAGAGGCCATCATCAATCTGTGCTGCCCGTGTGGGGTACAAATATTAGATAACTCTTACCAAAAGGAGCTCATTCCTCCTCCTGACTGACTAACCAACTGAAAACTAGCCTGGACTATCAGTAGCACAGAACTAAAAATAAGGATGCTCTGGGTGTGCTGTGGCTTAGACTTCTAGAAAGGGGCAGCCATAGAGATTACAGCCAGGTCTCATCCCTAGAGCCAGCAAACCTTAAGGAACAGCTTTTTCTAGTAATCTGAGGATGAAAAAATGAGATTGGTGGTTCATGACTTCAGCCAAGACTAGGAACAAAAGAGAAATATTTCAACATTAAGCCATTCAGCTTCTAAAAGATGCAACTTCTAATTAACCTCACAGACAATTGGCTGTGGTGTATCAGACCTTTTGTATATATGTAAGAGTACAGTGAAAAACTGTATCTAATTCCTGGAGGGATCTGTCTGGATGTTAGGGAAACTGGGTTTTTCTGTTGAGTTAGGGAGAGAAGTCAGTAAGTACCTTCAAGATGAGATAAAGGGATTATCAGGACTGATGGTCCCAGTTACAAAAAGAATGTAGAAAATATTAATTGGTAAACAAGTTATTCTGGGTTGTCTCTGGAAGCTGGAACTATATGTAGCTTTCAGTGATCTTAAAACACAGGCATGACAAGGCAGGTGGTAAGAACATCAGCCAACAGTATAGCATGACAATTCATGTAAGCCATGATCCAGTAATAGCTGCTGCATGGGATGACTACAGAACTGTCAGAACAAATTTTAAATAAAAAATGTAAAATACAAGAAAGGCAATTGGTTCATTGCTTATATTCTCTTTTTCCTTCTATATTTATGTTTTTACTTCTAAATTTTATCACTGAAAGATATAGCAAATTTGATATATATTTTTAAATTATTTTTCCTAAATCAATTAATGATTTTTCTTAGCAGATGTATTTTTTTTATTTACATAGCCTTCCTATTTTTGCTATGACTTGTGTTTTACTTCTTCCTGAAGCTTGAGGAACACATGACTTATACAAATGACCTCTGAGGATATGTAAAACTTGCAAAGACTTCAGTAATCTATTAATTCATTTGTGAAACTCACAAATAATACAGTTTAATATTCAAGCTTTAGAGCCTTTTGCCTAATTTATTCAAATGAGCAAGTGACTAATAGAAGTGACTATAGTCAGGTAATATGAAATATCATCATACACATTTGCTTCATGATGTTATTTTAATTATTTCTCCTCCATATATTCCTTATTTTCTCATTAGTTCAAGATAAATTTAACAAGATCTTTCTTCAGAACTCCACATTGTTACCAGAAAAGCACAGCTCAAAATACACGGTCTGGTAATGTCCAGACCAAGATGCACAACCATGCAATCTCCTAACTTTCCAGCCTGTTACTGTTTAGGCAGGCCTTTTCCTGGGACCTGATCATTTGGTACAACACTGCAGCATTTTCACAGATGCCTTCAGACCCTGGATGAAAGAGGAAGGCAAAGTACCTCTTTGCAGTACTTAGTGACGGCCATTCCTAAAGGATGCTCGCTGCTGGCTTCTGCTGTACCAACAACAGCCAGTACCTTCTTCAGGGGGAGCACAGCTGTGTCTCCCATCAAAAGCACCCTCGTGACTTTTGGAACTCCATAGGTGATGGTCCCAGTTTTATCAAACATCACAGTCTTGATCTGCAAGAAAAAAACACAGTTACTGCCTAAGCCCTGCAGGCCTGTATGCATATGGCACATAAATACAGTCAAGACTTTAATAAACAGCTGACTATATCCACACAAAGACAGAATAAATCCACAGAAGCCGGGATTCCTGTAGGTACCTCGAACTATCTGTGCAGCAGGCCTCCTTATACTTTCATATTCATTCCTCATAAAGCTACAAGATCGTCCTGTGCCCATATCAGGATCTCAGACAGCAGTGTAATTGTAGGACTGAGATGCATACACAAAGGACAGTACATGCATTCACATGCAGGATTCATGTAAAGGCACCTTAACCACTTTTACCACAAGGTATGTGATGCAAAGAAGGCTTTTTTGAACCAAGTTCTGAACAGTTAACAATAACACTGAGGAAAGAGGACTCAGGAAGTGGTTTGATGATAGAGAAGATGTAAAGAGTGCAAGAAGTTCAAGAAACAACAACCTAAGCAAAATCGATGTCATGCTATTCACTAAACTCAGCCATCACTTGTCAGCCAGGACAATGGGTCTTGAGGAATCAGAAATGAACCAAGAACTACAGCCCCACATATACTGGAACCCAAAGATAAAGTCAATTCTAACCCTGAAAATAAACACAAACCCCCAAAACTTAGCAAAGTACTAAGTACTAAGTATGGCACTTCTTCCATATCCAGCTATTCCAACACACCAACCTTGCAGAATCCAACAGGTCACCTAATTTTCAAAGCCCTGACCATAGCCTTGCTTGGATCCAAAAGGCAGAAATTCCCAGCATTAATTATTATTCTTTTTTATTTTTTTCCCAGAGCCTTGGAAAAACTTCTGGTCAAGTAAGAACAAGAATTATCAGTCTGATTAACTTGCTATTACCATCCTCCCCCCATAAAATGTTCTGCATGTGTCTAATACAGCCTATCACAACATGGTTTTGATTCGTTTTCTTTTCAGCAGCTCTGGACATGTCAAACCTCTTTCTCCTTCACTTCTTCCTCCTCTTTGCATAATTTTGATGTCTTTGAAGATTTTTTTTCTGCCTCCCTTCTCTCTTTCTTGTCTCAAAACAACTCCATAAATACAACTCCAAATAATTTTCCTTTTTTCTTTCATTCTGCATTTTAAACTACTGATCATGAACAATAAGCATTTCACAACAGGTCTCAGAGGAAAGGAAAAACCCAAGTGTATTATCGGGCTCTTTTGCAGAAGAGGTAAACAAAGTAAAATCAGAAACCTCTGAGGCCATGAAGAGGATTAGCAACCTCACAATCATGAGATTGTAGAATATGTTGGCTCTCAACACTTTGCTGTGATTACTTTGAAGATATGATTTCTCTTCTTAACCTTAACAAGCAGCAATCAATTAAAGAGAAAAAAATGGAAAAAAAAAAGAAAAAAAAAAAAAGAACAACTTTCCACAGTCTTTCTTTGGACCTGCAGGATTTCCTGAGGAATTATATTTCATGTAGCAATAGCTGGGTAAGCTACAAAAGTACAGAATAAACTATTAACCTGATGTGCCATTTCCAGGGGTTTTCCACCTTTGATGAGAATACCATTCTGTGCAGCCACTCCTGTGCCCACCATTACAGCTGTGGGGGTAGCCAGGCCTAAAGAGCAAGGGCATGCAATGCTCAGCACAGTGATTGAAGTTTGAAATGCAAACCTCAGTATTATTTCAGCTTTTGAAATGTTTTTGCTGTGATTCTGCAAGAAGAGGGAAGAGAGGGAAAAAAAAAAAAAGAAAGATATATCAGATTTCTGTCAGCAGATAACATAGGTGTACAATCAATCACAGTCATCTCATAAAACACATTTATCTGGAAAACTTCAGTAAAGGAAATCAATCCATTATTCTTACTGTAATGCTAAAGAAAGGTCAATGTAATGAATTGTTTATGGCAATATTTCCTGGATTTTTTGCTGCTCAAGTACACTCTCTGCTCTGAGTCTCCCACGTGTCAACATAACTTGTTGTGATTTCCTTTAAACCTTAAGTGAAGGAGAATGCTATTTCAAGATACACAGATTCCCCCAGTTCCTGAGCATAGCAAATACACATCCTAAAGGTAACAGAAGCTCAACTTCTTTCTCAAGCCAAAACCACTATCTGCCATCAGAAACAGGAATGCCCACAAAAATTTCAGACATAACAGGAATGGCTCAGCTCCTTGCAATGCAGCTATAGATCATGTTTAGTCCAGAAATGTTGTCAACAATTTCCATTTGTAAGAACCCCATGCAAAACTAAGAGGTAAATGCAAAGATATATTTATATCTGCAGAGAGATTTTAAATAGCGTAATTATCTGCTCTGTGTAGAAAATACCATTTTTTTACAGAAGTATTTACAGAATATTCTGAGTTGGAAGAGACTCACAAGGATCATCAAGTCCAACTCTTAAAGTAGAAGGCCCATACCAGGATTGAACCCATAATCATGGTGTAATTATCTAACCAACTGAGCTCCTCTCAGAGTGATTATAACATCAACACCTATATAGAAAAAGTGTGTTAATTACATTGGAAGATATCTTAACAAAAAATCCAGTTATAATAATAAAACTGCTTACCGGAAAATACTTTCTAATAATATCAAAATTCACAAAACCAATTGTGATCCATGCTATCAATGTCACAGTTGAAATGATGATGATAAATGGAACAAAGTATCCACTGAATTTATCTGCCAGTTGCTGGATGGGTGCCTATGAAAAATAAACCCAGTTATTTACATGGTTGTGGTCAAAACACATAAATATGCAGAATTCATGAAAATACAAAATAGCTCTGGAAAAACAGTTTGCTGAAGTGTGTAAGTATCAAAACATAGAATCCTTTTATTATTTAATCAGAATCTGTGAACAATGTTTTCTTCTTTTACCTTTGACATTTGAGCTTCTTCCACCAATTTCACAATCTGTGCCAGAGTGGTATCACTACCAACATGAGTTGCATTAACAAGAAGTGAGCCATGTGCATTTATAGAACCAGCAATCACTGTGCTCCCAGGCTTTTTAATGACTGGCATAGGTTCCCCTGGAAAGAAAAGGTAAGATTAAATGAGCCAATACCCCTAACAGCATAATCCATCAGCACACAGCTCATTCTATGTTAGCAAAATCAGTATGCTAAGCAATAATGACCAGAAGTCACATGCTGTATCTCTCTCTGGTGAAGACATGGATAAGTAGTGTCATACTTTTATAAAACTTTTCATAGGATTAATTTCAAAGCAAATGCTGTTTCCTTGGTCGTAACTTTTCAGTATACCATCCCTCAAAAGGACAAGGAACAAATTGGTTGGAAAAGGTACTTGTCAGAATTTCTCTATTAACACCTTACATAGCAATGGGAGTTTAAAAAATCTGTCTTTAACTCCATGACCCCCAGTTTTCAAAGGCCAGAAAGTGTGTTTTTTTCCTGTGGAAAAGCTCCTGTTCTCCTGCTACCTCTGCAAGAATACTAGCTCTAGAACATCTTTATCTTCTCTGTTTTTAGTGGTAGTGAAAAAAACTGGATCCCTGAAGCTAAAGGTGTCCCTGTTCCCAAGTAAAAACAGAACTGGAACAAGTAATTCAATGCCAATATAATATTTTTATATCTTTTATTGATAAGAATTACTGAATCTTTACTATATGTACAAAATGAAATGAAAATTTAAGAAGATGTAAAGAAGTCCTGTAACCCTTAATAAACATATCAAATTTTGAGGCTTTCTTTCCCCCTCCTTGCTCAGAGAGCCCTGTCATACAGACTCCAGCATCCCATCAATATTTCCACATCATCCTTTAGAACTTATTTCTGAGAAGGTACCATCTCTACAAATACATTCCAGGGGAAACTCCAGCCAGATCGCTGGAATAACAACAATCCCATCCCACCAGTAGCTTAGTAAGTGGCCAAACTGCGAGGAAAACCTTCAGTTTTGGGGGGTGTGCACAGATGCAGGACTTGAATTCAAGCTCACAAAGCCACAGCATCAATTAAGGTGGGAGGCTATTCAGACTGCAGTGTTTGGGTTGGGTCTGCTCTCTTTTCTTGTAATAAAGAGTTCCAGAAGATTTGACTTCTTTGTGTAAGGTGAGGGAAGTTACCAGTAATGAGAGACTCATCTGCCATAGAACTGCCTTCAATGACCTTTCCATCCACTGGGAACTTTCCACCAGGAACAACTTTTATAATATCACCCCTTTGAACCAGTTCAACAGGTACTTGCTCCTCCCTGCAAAAGACACAAGCAGAACAGGCAGGTTACTTATGCCATCAGCTTTCAGGTTAACTGGATAAAGCCTGGTCTGTGACCAGGCAGGCTGAAGGAATTTTGATTCATAAATACATACCTGACAATAGAGTGGCCAGGTCCTAGAGTCACCACAGTGGCTTCTGTGGCTTGAAGAGACATAAGCTTAGCAAGAGCTTCTGAGGTCTTACCCTAAGAAACAGAGATTAATGTTTAACATACATTGAGATATATAAAGTCTTACATGTACTTAACACAATGAACTCTAAACAACCTTTCATATTGTAGATTACACCAGAAACAGCTGACACAAAATTCCATGAATAGTTTACTCTACTCCTATCATAAATGCACAGTATTTGTGTGAAGATGAGTTACCTTGGCTATGTGTTCCAGCCATCTGCCAAGCGCAATGAACACAAACAACATCGGAGGAGTGTCAAAGAACGTGACAGGGCTTTTCTCTGCCTTTTCAATGATTGCTACTATCAAGATCACACAGGAATACAGATAAGCAATCGTCGTGGCCAATACGATGAGCACATCCATATTGGCTGTCCTGTGCCTCAGTGACTTGTAAGCTTGTACGTAAAAATACCATCCACCAAGGAACTGTTGGTGCAAGCAGGGACAGACTCGTATGAAGATTAGTAACCACAGAGTACATAATACTGCCCATAGCAGAATTAAAACCATGTAGTACATAAGGGAAGGCATTGCTGACCCAAGCAAATTTGATGCTAATGTAAATTCAGGTCTACTAGGAGACTGACCCCATTGACATCCTCTCATTTGCACTTCCTTGTTCTCAAAACCAGCAAATATCATCCTTTTCCTCAGCAATGCAAAGGAAACAAGGCATACAAAATGAAAGGATTTACCTACAGCTACCCAATTAGTTTTCAGATGATCAGGGATCTCTTTATTTTATATTACCTTCTCCACTTGGAAACCATCTGATGCAACTTTGGTGGGAGTAAGACCTATGAGTAAATACAGAATGGACAACTTGCAGAAAAGTGCCACTTTGTCCTGCATAGATGGTACAGACAAGAGGGCAGGCTTAATCCACTTAATCTTTCCATTAGCTTAGTCTTAGTCCATTAGTCTTTATCACATCAGATTACATAAATGGGAAATGAACAGAAAGCAAACCCCCAGGAAGTAGTATGGACATACCTGAACAAAAGTGCACAGGATAAAGAAGAGAAGATTCAAAATAGATAATCCAGGAATGAGGTTCTGTTCCAGCACCTTTGATCCATGGTCTTCACCACTGGGTATTTGCATATAAACCATTATGACTACAACAGGGATACCGAACACTAGGCTGTACAAGAAAGATTTCCTCCACCTAAAAAAGAAAAACTGTAAATCCATGGGGTTTTTACACCCCAGCTATGCTGATAGTGCAGGGCTGGGGTTATTAGCACTGAACCAACACACAGCTTTGGGATATTTGCAAAGATCCAGTACTTTGGAGCAGCTTCAGTGTCTGCAACATGTTTAACTGTATAGACTTCTGGCAGTTAAAAACTAACAAAAGAAATAAAAGTACTTGAGCCAAATGGCGAATGGTAAAATTAAATATGCTTTGCACAAGAGTAATCTAATTAACTGGGAAGTGTGCTGGGAGAAGTAGAGTTACAAGATATGATCTAGACATGTTCATTAATGAGACAGAAAAGAAATACTTACTGTTGTATTTCCTTTTTATGATCCAGGTTATGCGCATTTGGAGCTCTTTTAGCCACAGAAGCATGAAAGCCAATTTCCTTTTTATTGAAAGAGAAGGAAAGATAAGTTAGTTTTGATGAAGCTGACCATATTCCTTACAAGACATTTTAATGACACTACTTTTAGAAGAAATGCCAGAAAAGGACACTGTTCCATGTTTAATAAATTCCAACCCCCAATTGAATAAACTCATTTATTTTTAGATTCTGCCAAAATGAGAGGATATTTCAGTCACTACTCAAAATTTGGACTGCAAAGGGCTTCTGGTACCTATACATGATCACAGTGTCCAAGTAAGTGTCCAAGTTCTTAGGCATGGGGAGCTTCCACTGGCAGGTGGAATTCTACTGCACTCCCCCTAAAGGAAAATATATACCCTTCCACCTCCACTGGAATAATCAGTAAATAGGGGACATAGCACAAAGGAAGTTAAAATGCACAAGCCACTGGGAGCTAGACAGCCTTGTGAGCAAATCCCTAACACTAGAGTTTAATAAACACACCTGAAGTTGAAAATTAAAGTGTCTAAAGTTAGTTTAAACCCATAGGACAACAAACTGCAGGGCAAAGCATCCCAAAAACAAATACAAGCAAAAATCCAGCTTTGAGTGATGCTTGGGTGAGTTACTGCAGTAGAACAGTGCCTCCTGCCCAAATTGCCCTAAAACCCAAAGCACGCTTGCAAGAGCAAGACACTTCCTACCTGCATCAGGAAATGGTTCTGTGGCAAAGTATGCTTTAGAGAATTATTCTGCCAGCCTGAACAGTCTACTAGTTAACATGTTAAATAACTGCTGCTGCATCAGTTCTGTGGTCTTTTCTGAGTAAATAACTCTATAGCACGGAAGGCAAACAGCCTCTGCTGTCCTCCTGACTACTGACTGCATGCACTTTAAACAGTATGATCTCTTCCTTTCTGGTGGGACAAAAAAAGTAAAAAAGTTTTGTCCACAAAAACCCACTTTGGGCAGTGGTAACAGTAAATTTTATGATCTGTGTGACTACCAGTAAACCAGGATTTTTTCATTTAATATCAGGCTGTATCACAAGCTGTTTCCATTCAAAAAGATGTGGGAATAGATGCAAGTGTGTACAGAGATCTGTAATACTTGTGGCATGAGCTGTGGCAGAACTTCTTTTACAGCCTTTGTCACTGTCAAGAGAAAGAAGTACTTTTTTCTGAATTAGCAATACTTCACTTTAATGACTGTGATTCCACACACAGAATGGCAAGAAATGAATATATGACACTTTTGCTAGATAAAGATAAAAAAGGTTCATTTTGTAGTTTTTAGTGAGTTTTTAGAGTAACAGCTGGGGAGCTTATACATTCCTGTGGAGCACAGCAGCCTCACACAAGAGCATAAAAACGTGGCAATAACTATAGCATCTACAAAATCAGTGAAACCTCTCAAATATCAGCTGCTTTATTTCCTACTAAATTTCACCATTTAATTGTTTATACATAAAATATTTCCAAAGCCTACCTTGATTACTTTTATAATATCTCGAGGTCCAGTAATTTCAGGATCAAACAGGATGTGAGCTTTGCTAGTCGCAAGTGAAACTGAGGCAGAGAATATGCCATTTGTTCTCATGAGTTTGGATTCAATATTGTGAACACAAGAAGCACAAGTCATCCCTATAATCTAAAGAAAAGGCAATCTTGAGTAGTTAGAAATCCCCCACATTCACCCAATATTTCTGGGTGTACTTGAGACAACAGCATTAGCAATATGTATTTGTTGACACATTCTCAGTTTCTCAGAGTCTGTACTAAAGTGCCTTAATGGAAAACTTCTCTTTCATTTCTGCTTGCTAAGAAAAGTCTAATTTGTGCATAGACCTATCACTTTTTATTTCAGTGCTTTTGGATAGGTTCTTCTAAGACAAGTTGATTTTGTCTTTTCAGCAATTACGAAAAAAAGTGTCACCAGCCAGAACTGAGCTGCTGAAGCTCAGCAAAGCTATTTGCAAGAAAATGAGTCTTCCAGACCTGACTTTTCCAAAACAAACATATAATTTCAAATACATGTGACTTACAAGAAGCTCCACTTGCCCTTCTGTTTCTGCATTATTTTCCATGATGGTAGCTTCAAAACCCAAATTCTGGATCAGCTGTGCTATTTCAAGAGGCTGTATGAGTTCTGGCTTGTATTTTATCTCTGCTTTACCTGCCATCAGTGCTACCAACACTGAAACAATTCCTGCAAAGGCAATAAAAATATTAGATAGTGTAGCTCCTTTGAGGGAAAGAAAAGTAAAATATTACAAGTGACTGTCAGTAAGGACTCTAACAACTTAGAGATATTATAAGCCTCTGATTTCTCTCTGCCTCCTTCTACTGCTGTTCCTTAGTCACAACAGCAAAGTTTTTACAGAGACCCAGCTGCATTGAGTTTACTCTTTGGCAGTGAGAGGAATTGCAAGATTTACACATGGAAGGAGATAAGTTTTCCTATGATCTAATGAGGCAGAAAGGATGTTTGGAAGAAATCTTTACATCCACTGCTGCAAGGTCTACCCTAGACTCTTGCAGTTGGGAATGAGCCCTGCAGCACAATGCTAGACCTTTTTATTTTCTTGCTCCCCACCCTTCCTTATTTTTTTAATAAATAAAAAGCCCACAGAAATCTACATTTAGAATGGAAAATCAAAACATAGAGATCACAAGGAAAAAAAAAATATATTTGAAGAGCTAATGCATTTTTTAGTTTCTAAATCAAGGCAGTGAGACCACCACAGGGAGACTGGGGAGAGAGTAACCAATAAGCAAAACCTCCCAAAGGCACGCTGATATAAATGGAATCAGACATTGCTAAGGCTCATCTGTTAATCTTCTGCAAGGCCAGAGGAAAGGCAGCTCCAGCCTGCAGACCTCTAGACCAGTAAACACCACTGTGCCTAAGCTTACCCTGGCAGTGGAGCCATTCATTTGTTTGCACTTGCTTGTGCAAATACACTCAAGCATGCCCGAGTTTTCAACGGCTCTGGAGGAGATGGATTACTTTATAAACCAACAAGACCCTGAAAACTAAATGACAACCATTTCTGTGTTCTTGTCTTCAGACTTATTTGAATTTTTTATCACCTTACAACCTGTTACAAGTATGTTCATCATGTTTGCCCACCATCGCAATAGGATAGTTAAACAGTGACATAGTTACGTTAGCACTAAGAAAGAACATTAAGTGTATTTAACTTCCATATGCTGCATGACAGCCTCTTCCATTAATCTCATAGAACATCTTTTCCATCCCATCATCCCTTATTATTAGACTCACTATAGGAATCTTAAATTTATTACCATCTTCTTTCTGCAACTTTCTTTCAATGGTAGACACACACGATGCACAGGTCATGCCTGTGATTTGTAAAACACACTTTTCTTCTGTGGCTCCACTGAGCTGGTTTGACCCATCAGGGTGAGAACTGTCTGGAAGAGCATCTGAGGCATCGCCTTGGCGAGGAGGCTCTGGTGCTTGAGGCTGCACAGCAGCTTTGCTGGCATCAGGCTGGCTCCTGTGTTCTCCAGTGGCAGTATCTTGAATAAATGCACAATACACTGAACTATTTACAGTGTGATTGGATGACACAAAAGTAAAAACAAGTCACATTTATCAACCACACAAACACTCATAGTTGTTTAGAAGGTGACATGATAGCCTTGGTCCCTATGTGGAAATAATATATGTTGTTACCAAACTTGTAAAAATACATATTCACCAGTACCACTTGACCATCTAACTCCACAGAACTAGCTTTCCACATTCAGATGGCAAATGATTCCCTCCAATTTCAGTGCCTAGAGCTGTCAGTTATCTCCACTTGATAAAGATATATTGGTATCTAGACAGTGTTTATCCAGCACTGAGAATGTAGTCCAGTCATAACCATTCTGTCATTGTTGCCGTCTATGCAGGACTCATATCACTTCATCTCAAACAAGGAAAACAACAAGTTTCTCAACAGGTTTCTCTTTACAGCACAGTATTCACACTGCAAGTACTGCAAAATGAGTATTGGAAGCACCCCAGAGACCCGAACACAAACAGACTTCTTGCAAACATTTTTATTCTTTGCCAGGTATTGAACAGACACACAACAGCTCCAGCTGTGTTCACAAACTACCTCCCTTGGGCAGAGGTTTGTATAAAGGAGCAGAAGCTGCTTCCAAACATGTTAAACACAGGGGATTCCCTCCTTTCCCAGATGGAGTAGGTCTCCTATGTACAAATTATAAACCAAACAAATTATAATTAAATTAAATTATAATCACATACAGGCTCTTCTCCATTTGTAGTAGTATCACAGATTCAGAGGTATTGGGCCCATGAGAGAAGTGAATAGGGTGTGTTTTTCTGGGATCAAACTAATTAATTTCAGGTAAACATCAAAACAACTTTTTAAACATTGAACGCATGTACAAAATGCATACACTGCTGTAGCTGGCATGTAAAAGCAGCTGTGCCCACCAAAGAGTACCTGCATTTTGCCACTTACATTGCTTAAAGCAAGGTTTAGTGAAGTAAGACAGGTAAAAATACTCAAGAAATAAATGTAAAAGGCTAAAGACACTAACAAGTGGTTTTAGCTAGATTAAAAGCAGTTTTAAATGAAAGATACCTCATTAAGTTTGTATGTTTTAGTATTCTGGAACATAAATGTAAACATTTGGTTTGATAGGTGGTTTGGTACTTACAGCAGCCTGTGGACATAGGAGGACACCTATTCAGGGGGTAAGGGAATGAACTATATGAAAGGCTTTCTACCTCAGCGCTGTAACTGCAGTCACTGAGGGTTGAAACAAGGTGCTTTACAGCTGGAACCGCTATCCCTTGCTGAGGGAGGTCAGATCAGGCCAGGCATTAGGAAGAGGCAATGTCAATGTGATGCTTTAAGAGTTTCTCTCCAGAAAGGAATCTCAATGCCAACGTTGCGAGACCCACCTTGGCACATGACACGCAGAAGAAAAAAGTTACCTGTCAGCACAGAGGCATCAAATCCCATGTCTTCTATGGCAGCTCTTAACTCTTCTCCACTAGTGACAGCTGGATCATAGTGTATGGTCCCAGTACCACCAGCCAGAGAAACTGCTACATCCTGCACTCCTTGCCTCTGTGCTATGGCCCCTTCTATGGCCTGTACACAGGAATTGCAGGTCATGCCATCAATCTTAATAACAACCATCGTGCCTTGTGGTGGCTGTCTGATGGCATTGTATGTGAAAGTACCTGAGGGATGTGCTGCTTTATTTGCTTCTGAACCATTAAGGAGGCTTACTTTAAAGTTTCCAGGTGGAAGGGATTCAATAGCTTGCAGCAAAGCTGACAGGGTGATTAAATCTGGGCTATATTGTACCACAGCACATTTATGCTCCAAAGACACTTTAATACTTGTTATTCCAGGAAGATCTGATATATTTCCTTCGATGTTCCTTACACAGGACTTGCAGTGCATGCCCTCTATCTGTACTGTCACTGTTGCTGTGCTACCCATCTCGGTGACCAGCGGGTCCAGCCCATCACTCTCGAGACTTGCAGGTGTCTCCCTGGGGTTTGCATTCTGCAAGCGCTGGAGGTCAAGGGCACCCAGCTTCAAAGGAGCTGATTTACTTTTAATGGTGCAGTCATACCCCAGGTCACTGATGTGGCTCTTGAGGTCATCTGGCTGAATGATGTAAGGATGGTAAGCAATAGTTGCTTCTTGGTTATCAAGTGACAACTTGATTTTTGTTACACCGTGCAGTTTCCTAATCTTTCCTTCAATGGTGGTGACACAGGACTGGCATGTCATGCCCTCTACCCGAAGTTTAACTACTGCTTCTTTCAAGCTCGGCAAATTTACAGTGGCTGTTGTCAACTTCTCTTCTGCTATGTTGGCATCAAAGCCCATATCCAGAATTTCCTGGCAAATCTGTTCAGGACTTATTTCTGACTGTAGATACTTGATAGCAGCATTGTTCTGCTCAAGGGAGACTTTAATTCTCAAAATGCCCTTCACCTTGGAAATTCGGCCTTCTATTGACTGCACACATGATTGGCACGTCATTCCCACGATGTTGACTACCACAGTATTCTCTTGGGTAGGTGGGGAGGGCATGGTTTCAGAGCTCTCCTCATAACCCATGTTGTCAAACGCAAAATTATGTTTCATTGTAGGCTTCAGCTCACAACCAGGAGGAGAATCAGTGCTGGGCAAAGCCTAAGGAGAAAGTGGAAAAGTAAAAATAAATGCTTGTATCTTCCGCCCTGTAAAAGCAACAACAATCTTCATATGCACATATGCTTCATATGTGCTTCACAAGCACATACTAGAAGTGCTCTCAAGTTAGCCAAGATGGCCAAACCCCTTTACAATGTTATTTTACACTTTGAATATTTATTATCAGTGAGTTATGCCCATGATGATGAATCAGGCTTCTGACAGTCTCTTGAGCAGCAATTTAGAAAATACTGACTAGGGATATAAAAGCAGAATTGACTCGGTATTCCTACCCCAACCAAGTAATTTAAAACTTCAGTTCTCAGCAGCCACAGCGCATGTCCATCACACAGCCTGAGCTGCTCTTTAGAGCACACTGTCACTGGCTCAGTGGGTCACAGTGTGCTGACTGCCTCTCCAAAAAGGTCATAAACTGGCCCAGTTTGGCCAGCCTGCTACTTCCCAGGAGGAGTTCAAACCAAACCAAAAAAAAAACCAAAAAAGCCCAAGAAAACAGAATCACTATGTTTCCAGAAGCCTGAAACAAGTTGATGCAGGGAGGGTCAGCTGCATGATATCGGAAGAGCTATATGCATGCACACAAAGGCCTGGGTTCTCTGCATTTAATATATAACCCTTTTAACTTGAAATCTGTATCTAACAAAGACCTTGAAAGACACAGAAGCGTAAGCAGATATTTTCACTATGGTTTAATTTTATTTACCTACTTGTGAGGCACCTAAGACTAAATTGTGCTACAGTAACTCACTGATTTGATCCAACACTGATTTTCAGGATGGCCTGTACTGAAACAGGCCAGCCAGAAGTGAACTGTTTCTCAGTCAGATCATGTAATCAAGATTGAAAAGGGCAGGGACAAGTCCAAGATTGTCAGATTTCATGGAAAGAACATGAAAATTCATGCCCATGATTTAAAGCAACTTTAAATAGATCTAGATGAAAACTACTAGGATTAATCTGTTCTCTTGCCTGCAAAGCCTTGGCCACTCTGACATCCAATAAAACACCTGATGCTGGGCATTCCTGCAGGGAGAGCCTGGAGAAGGGCCCACTGGATCAGCTTCAGTACTGCAGATCCTGTTCCTGTAACCCACGAGAAAACTCCCTTCTCAATACCACAGCATGGATGAGAAGCATTTAGACTGCTTAGTAACACTAGACTGCATCCAGTTCATTTGATGCAGTATTCAAAATTCATTAACTTGATTTTGTTTTACGCTTAGACAGCTTGGGAATAATGAGGTCTGGGGTCACAACCAAAACAGCAAAAATTTAAGACAAGAAATTTGCTTTCAACCTTTTCCATACTGTATTTGTTAGAACAAGAAGAGGAATGAGCAATTTCAACTCTTCAAGATTATGGTGCAGCCCCTCAATTATCCTCAGAGCAAACTCTCCCTCCTGCTCCCTCCCCTTCTGCTCGGCCTCATGGCTGCACTCCAGGGATGCTTTGGAAGAAGAGTCAGAGGAATATTTTATCCTGGCATCCCCTTTTGCCTCCTCCTCCCATAGGCCTGGCAGCACCCAGGACACTGCTCTCCTTGCACTTCCCTTCCCTTAAGTTTGTGAAATTGCCAACATACATGGAAATGTGCCACAAGAACCTCTTCTCAGAACAAAACTTCCCTGCAAATGTGGTGTTCTGTTTAAGCACCACGCAAAGACAACCAAGACAAACACCCCCATTCTTGTGTCCTCCTATTGTTATAACTTCCCACAATTTGAAATAGTAACCTGTCCTTGCATATGGGGAAAAAAATCACATCTGAAAACAGTCTCCCAACCACCACATTTCAGATGCAGCCTAAACTCAAACTCACATTTATTGTAAATTCTGCCTCAAGAAGTGTTATGTGAGTATTGTCCATACCCCCTCTTCCCTGTCCCCAGTTCCCCAAGGACACTGCTCACAGTGGCCTGCTCTTACCAAAAACCTGATGAAATCTGTGTGACAATTACAGAAGCTCACCCTGTGCATGTACTTTGGCTCATAGGACAAAGGTATTTTGCTTTTTGCATCTTTTGGTGAAACAGAATGAGGAGATGAGCATCTTCCACTCTCTGCTTCACTGCCTGTCTGGCCACCCCTTGCAGATGGAACTCAGGAACCATCACAGGCCTTATGTCCTCCACTGTGTTCCCTCCACCCCCATGTTCACTAATTGTCTCAGTTTTACTAGGTACCCCATGACATAAAAGCAATTCAAATTAATCGTGTAAAAAGATTAGAGAGTATTTCTCGTTATCCAGTCTTTTGAAAAACATAAAAGCAAGGACTGATTCCACTATTTCAATGCATTGTAAGCCACAGAAACTTCAAAACTTGGCCACTGCTTTTTGTTTTGCATAAAAAGCTATCCCAGCATTCAGAAGAATCGGCAAAAAATGGTTTGTTTGATACTTTGATACCTGATGCTTATGCTCTGCAGGAGAAAAATCCTTTCACACAAATTTTTAAATAGCAAGGAAAAAATAGAGAGGGGATGTAGATATAAGAAAATTAAAAAGCTTCTTTCCCTTAAAAAAAAAAAGAGGGGATGTAGATATAAGAAAATTAAAAAGCTTCTTTCCCTTAAAAAAAAAAAACACACACAAGTGCCGAAACATTGAAGAATCTCCCCTCAAAACCAAGAAATGTGCACAGGTACAAATTAAGTATTTACAAAACCTTTAGCATTGTTTTTAACAGCTTCAAAAAAAACCCAAAAACAGAATAGGCAGAAATGCATCTATGTGTGTATTTGCAAGAAGGGTGCTTCTATACCAGACGAGAGGAAAACAGCAGATTCATGTAAGGACACAAAGATGAGGCATACAGAAATGTGTCCATAGTTTTCCTTGGGCACATGCTGGGTCTCAGAAAAGGGTTTCTTGATGCCAGCTAACACCCACTCATCAAATGGCATCTGTGAGGCTGTACAGTAATTCAGAAATACTATTGCAAGAGGACTAGAGAAGCAGTCACCACCAAAATGGCAAAAATGCCCAAAAAGGTACTTGGGAGTGCATTGAGACTGAGTACATTCTGCTTTTTTTCTGCCCAGAGAGAAATATGAACAAAATAATGGAAATGCACCTAACTCTACATCCAGAAGGGAAGGTGTGAAAGAACTGGCTGTAATTACTCTTTTGTCTCTCACACCAAAGGAGAATGGCTCACTTTTAAGAGCAGATTTCCACCAGATTTCTGCTTGCTCTACCAGTCTCATGCATGTTTTTACAGTATCTATGTGAATAATATGCAAATAATTACACATGAAATGATGACAATTCTTTCCCTCCTTTGTTCTGCATGTAAAAATTGGAATTGAAAGCACATAGCACAGCGAGTCTCTACTCTGAAAGCTAAGAACCCTGACACAAAGAAGCTATGAAGCTCATAGGAACCATACAAAGAAACAAAAAAAAAAGGAAGAAATTTGAGAAATTGTGTCAATGATTTGAGAAATCATTGACACAGAATCAGAAGCAGATGGAGGGAGCTTTAAAGAAAGCATCAGAACTGGCTGGAAAACACTTGCATCTACAGAAGAAGCTCTGAACCAGACCCAAGATGAGTAGCAAATGTGCAGAAGTGTGGCATCTGAAGCCCTAGTCCTAGTATGAGGATTTCAAAGCAAGAAACAAGGCACATTGAACAGCCCTTGATGTCCCTGACAGGAGCTGTAGCACTCATGCCTGTTCTGAGGCAAAGCAGGGCTTGGGAACAGCTGGAAGATGCAGAGGCTCATGCTCTCCTTTCTGACTGCCTCCAGCCAGCAGGAAGATCATCCAACAGGAATATGCAGGGAGATGCTGCTGGATTAGAAGCACCAAGTCTCGAGGCCTGGTTTGGCACAGAGCTCTTGGCATCATAGCATCCATTTCATGGCTGGTCCATTTGGGAAAGGTAGTCCTTGCCCATGGTCTGTATGGCTGGTGGGGAAAACCCACCCCATTGAGGGCTGCCCTTAGAGGGCCAGCATCATGCTGACCTGTGGTCCCCCAAAACAGGCTCCTTCTTCTGGATATTCCCATTCAAATATGCAAAGGCTGAGAGTTCAAGCAGTGAAGGGATACATAATAAATCTGAGAAAAACAACTGGACTCAGAAAAAACCCCAAAGACAAGGAAACCACAGCACTGGGTAAGATCCTCACACATGGTGAGCCATGTCTTGAGAATGGATGCAACACCACGGCTGTGAACTCCATAAGGTTTGTGCCTTCCTTGGCCTCACAGCCCAGCCACCAGCCACCCATGGCTGAGTCCCCATGCTGCCGCCATTGCTGTGTTTCATGGTCACTTGGTGGGGTGGCCTGTCACCAGGAAAGCCATCCCTCTACGTTTTTCCCTTCCCAAGAGATGCAGCCACCTCCAAAATGCCAGTATAACGCTCCTGGTCTCTGCAGCACAAGGCTGAGGTTGTGAGAGGTGCACTACACAGTTCCCTGAGCACCACCCACACCAAGATCCAGCACAGAATTGCTCCTCTCTGTTCATCCAGCACAGCTCTCCTGCCTTGGCTTGTGGAGAGGGCTCACAGTGGGTGAAGCAAAAGAGTCGACAGAAAGAAGCCAGCAGAATTCCTGTGTGTCAGTGAGAAGAAGAGAAAGAAGATAAAGGTAGAACAAAACAAAGAACATCTGAGCTGCAAAAACCACCATGAAAAACAGGATCTATCTGGATTTTGGATTTTTGGGGATGCTTTCTCAAAACAGTGCTTCCACCAATGGACTTGAGGGTGGTGTGATGATGGCCAACGGGATGGGGTGCTCTATGGGGTCAGAAGGGTGTAAAAACGCTATGTATGAGCACAATAAAAAAACTTGGATAACTTTTCTTAAGGATCTGCTTTGTGTCATGTCTGCTCCGACAACAGCATTGGCTGGCACTGCTCTCCTGCCCTCCTCTGCCTGGCCTGCAGGGATGGCAACTTTCACATCCTAAAACTCAAGCACCAGGCTCCTCAAAGTGATGCCAGGCAATCAGCTGGAGAGGAGATGGGGCCCGGCACACTCAGCACCTCCCCCTCTGCCTCTCCCTGCCTGCTCATCCACAAACGCTGGAGGTCACTGAACCTCTCATTCACTATGTCCTGAAGTTTTGGGCTGCTCTTTTCCCTGTACCCCTGTGGGCTGAAATTGCCCTCTTACCTTTGAGCACACAACTGCCCAAAGAATTATCTGTGTTTTACCTTCCCTACTTCCTTCTTTCACAACTGCCTGATTCATGGCTGTGGACTCAGGCGGCAGCAGCACACAACTGAAAAGCCACACACTAATAATTAAATGCTTGAGATGTTTCCCAGTTTATTATAGGCAGACAGTGAACAACAAAATGAGGGCAGAGTAGCCACAAAAACATCAAAGGTCACGAGTCTTCAATTTTGTGCCTGTAACAGCAGCACTCTGTCACACAGAGTAGCCACAAATTCACTCCTCATCCTTCTCAACATTTTTCAGTGTATCTCGTTAGAGCATATTGTTTAAATGTATTAGATCATAACTGGTTGTTCTTTCTCCTCTCCTCTCCCAAACAAAGATTAACAAATGTCAGTAGCTACTATATTCAGTAACTGCTTGCAACACAATTTGATATTTTTCAAACAGTTCCTGAGTCTTAAATGAGGGAAAGAACCTTCTAAACTTCAATGTCAAGATTCAATGAGAATATTACTACAAAGCAGCCTTTATAAGGCTTTTGTTTCCAAAATACTAAGTTAATTCTACTGATTCTTCTGCCAAGGGACTGCTATTCCCCATCTGGGATTAGGCTTCTCTAACAGTACAGAGGAACAGAGGATAGGGAAAGATTTAGGCAGTTGCAGCCAGTCTTACTAAAATGACACCTAACCTCAGAGACCTTAACAGGCACTTTTAAATTAAAGGGAGCTGTGTAAACCAAGTTTGGTTTATGGGAAAGGGGAAAGGCTTGCTGTAAACTAAATGTTTCTAATTTCGAATTAAAACAAGGTAAACCTCTTTGTGATGTTCCTTACAGCACCAGTACAAGTAACATATATATCCCTATGAACTGAATACAGAGAAGAGATCCTTTGGTAGAACAAAGTCATTTATGTCATGATTGTTTTCTAGCAAGCATTTATAATACAAGAAGTAACTCGAGGCAGAAAAAGCTTTCAGATATATTTGGTGTCTTCTGGCTGTTATTTAATTCCAGCCTGACACTATTTGAGCCATTCTAAGTACACATAGTTTCAAAGAACATGAAAACACAGAATCACGGAACATTCTGAGCTGGAAGGGACCCACAGGGATCATCAAGTCCAACTCTTCAGCAAATGACTCATGCAGGAATCAAACCTACAACTTTGGCATTATTAGTACCATGCTCCAAACCAACTGAGCTTTGTTCTGAGAGTTTATTTTCCTTATATATTCACAATATTCATGGATCCAAACTACATTACTGCAGTGTACATATATTTTAAACAGCAAAACTCTTTTAAAAATAATAAACCTCATCATGTTTCTATCAGCATTAATCTTTGTAAGTCTCTTCACCACAGCAGTTAATCTCCAAAAATATCACAGTTATATACAACACTGAATTAAAAAAAAAGTTACACAGATGTATTTATCAACAACTTCACTAGCACCCACTTAGTAGATATAAATAAATTACTTACCTACAATAAGAACCTTTTAATGTTTCTGCAGTTTCTGTTATTCCAAACTAGTATGAGTTTCTGTTAAACTACTGGAGCAATTGCATTCAAGAGAAATACTATTATGTTCCTTCCCTAGGAATCACCACTCTGTGTTATTTGAGGTGGAGCTGAAACAATGCTCATTAGCTTCTATGGCATAAGTCATCATTAACATCTCTTTTCAAAGATTATTTTGAGAGGATCCCCAGAGGACTTTGCATGCTTGTTATGGGGCTGCCATCCATGCTGGGGATCAAGACAATTTAGATAAAGAAGGTTTAACCTCCTTTAATATACAACCCATGTCCAACATGCTTTGTTTTAAATCCAGCAGTTCAGAAACACCACGTCCCTCCCAACATGCACGCGCAGAGAGACACACACACACACACACACACACACACACACACACACACACCAGCGCTCACTGACCTGTTTTTCAACTGTATTGACTTCTGTCATTCCCATGGAGTAACTCTGCAAAAGTTTCTCTTCTTTCTGCAAGTTACTACTTGCTTTTACTGGAGATGTCGTCTTGGACTTTTCACCAATAATCAGTAGTTCGGGCACATCACAAGCTGCCTGCTGCTTACGAATAGACACCAGGGATATGTTTCTGTCGTTTAAAGTAGCTAAGTAGGACAGTTCCCTTTTCATTTTATTGTCCAGTTTTCTCTCCATTATTTTCCTGGACTTTAAATATTGCAACGCCAAAGGAAAGTTTTACAAGAGCAGTTATTTGGTGTTCCGCAAGCTTCTTTCAGCTACGTTTACAACAGCTTGAAGAGTTCTGCCCATCTAATCCATGCGCTTATTAGGCATTCATCACAAAATCCCAGATGGAACCTGTGATCCTTATGTAGGCTGCTGGCTGCACTCAGCTACCTGCTCTCCCTGCCAGTTTAAATGTTTCCCACCAATTGGCATCCCTCGTGCTTTCCAAACTGCGTTCGGCACTGCTGATCTCTGCACACGGCGTGCAGCAGGCTTGGCCAAGGCTGCCTTTCACAAGCTGCTCAAACATGACCTGTGTGCAGCAGCCAGAGCGTAACCAGCCCACACAGCCAGGCATTAGCTCCTTGCGGCCATGTGCACAATCACAGCTCCTACACAGGGAAAACGCTGCTCCATTTCCTCCTTCTGTGAAATTACCGGGGGTTTCTTGGATAAAATTAAGTCCCTTCTAACATTGAAAACATGCCCACGATTACCTAATTAGATAAGGCTCCTAGACCAGAGGTCTTTCACTCATTCAGGGCACAAGAACATTCATTCTTTGTTTCAAGAGGGAAAACAAAAGAGTGAGTACAATATTTACACTTTCTAAAATGTGCCTCTTTAACATCAGCAAGCTTTACTAAAAACCAATGAACCAAACAAAAATAAATGAGCAATTAGTGCCAGAAAGGCAAGACATAAAATATATTTTCCATAAATTCTCTGGGCAACAACAGGAACATCTAATTTAGACAGCCAGACACACAACAGGTACCACCACTAGAAGTGCTTTGAGCCAAGCCTGAATATATTTTTCTGGGATTGCCCACAGCAAATTCACAGCCCTATGCTAAGTTCTCAAGTCCACAGTAGTGCAGTGCATTTCTGAAAGCAGTGCTGTACAGGGTCACATTTATGTGTTTATAAAATTTAAAAAATACAACAGATATTATTATTTATTTATTAGCAATTTCCACCCTCCCTGCCTGTGCAGTTACATCACTGCACATGCAAGCCTTAAAATAATTGTTTTGAATTTAATCAGAATCTCTTGGACTTGTTGGAAAAACTAACAAATTTACTCCTGTGCAGAGGTTAGCACACAGCGTCAAAACCTCAACATATCTCTGTCACATTACTATAACCTGTGAGACAAATGACAGACACTCCACTTGACAAAAGAATTAATATAATATTTATAACTTCTATAATGCCTTTTTACCATCAGCTAGCTTTACCAAAAGACAATGACAGAACAAATTCAGATTCATCTGACTTCCAAAGGCAGAGGTACACCCCTCACACCCCTGTCACATAGAGAGTGGTTCAGAAAGCCACCATGCAGGACATTAGCATCCTAGCTTGTCCCCCATCATAACTTCCCCACAGCTATTAAGCTAATTAAGTTTAATTAATTAATATTAAACCTTAAACAAAAGGGCTATTTTGAAAACATTTTGAGAAATGTCCCTTCTAAAGAGAATTACTACAAAGGTTAAAGTGTTTGTGTTTGTTCTGCATTTATCAAACAAATTAGAGTCACATCTCACTTCAGTTCAAACATTTTATTGAAAAAGCAAATTGTGCTAAAGGTGAAATAATTTCAGGAATTACAGATTTTAATTGGTTTTGAAATGAGAAATTGAAAATCATACAATTCTGTGAAAAATTTCAGTACAATATGTTTAAATACCAAAGATAAGTCTACATACTAAATACATATAAAAAGTTAAAAACTGATATTCATAATTCTAAAACAAAACAGGCCTCTCATCCCAAATCAAAGATATTCAGAAATTCAGCTCCAAAGTTCTAATTCCAAATAATGGCAGTTTCAAATTCTTGATTTTCTAAAGGAACAGGAATTCCAGTTTCTCTCCATCAATAAAGCACATATTTGATCCACTCATTTCTGACAGTATCTTTGCTATTAAAAATACCAAACCCAACTGAGTATGTTCCTGCAGGTAACTAATATTCAAAACTATACTGTGATGAAAAAGTCTGTAAAAACAACTTCTTCATTTCAGGTTTACCAGCATAGCTCAGCTTAGATAGAATAACAGAAGACAGAACAACAAGATACTGAATAAGAATCTTCTCTCCAATTCCCTTCAGTCACCCTTTTTTCCCCCCCAACTTTTGAAGAACCCTAAGATAAAATTCTGTTTGTTTCTAACAGCAATGGAAAAAAATTCTTGTTTAGTGACCCACAGTCCTTTGCTTTCAGCAGAGTCCTGAATATTGATTTGGAGATAGACAAGAAACACATGGAGTTGTGCTTTGAGCACATTCAGTTTACAAGATATTTATCCACATTAAAAAGAAGGATTTGGCTGGAGAAAAAAAGCTTGCTATAGCTTTTCAGACAAAAGGGACATAAGATATATTTTAACCACTTTAAATACCTGTTTTAGCTGTGGGCCAGAGCAGAGCAGTGGCAAAAGAAACCTGTGCAGTTGACAGAGTCGCAAGCAGCTCTTGGAGAAGAGACGCCAGCCACAAAGCAGAAACCACTGAGAATCTTTTAAAGCCAAGTAATTCCTACTTACATAAATACATGAGACTGAAAGATCAGAGGTTCTGCCCCACCTCAATCGCTGCACAACTCTCTTATGATTCAGGAGACACTTCAGGAAGGGATCCAGTATTGACTGGCCACCTCAAGGCTGGCAACGTCTGCCAGGGAAGTGAGGCAGATGCTTGGAATTAACCTCTGCAATCGTCTGCTGCTGCTGCTGCACTCCAACAGACTGCTATTGGTTTCCAAGTTATTTTCTCCATACTGTCTCAATTAATTTCCCCTTTAGAGTCTAAGCTAATTGTGTCAGCTGTAGACTGAGGGTGAGCATTTTACTTAAGGCTGAAATAGGAAAGGCAATATTGCCCTTCTCGTCTGATAACAGTACCATCTGGTTTAAGGCAGGATTTTGCAGAGCTTAGGATTTTCACCAGGAGGAGTCATTCTGCCTTGGTAGTAAGAAATTCAGAGAACAAATAGAAAAGATGCCTGCTGCCTTTGCATCTTTCTGCTAGTGTCCAGCAACTGTGTTTGCATTTTCATATCAGAAAACACAGGACATTAAAGAAAATTAAATCCCTTTGATTTCAAGGCTCAAAGCTGATCAAACATGGGTTTTGCCCTTTGTATTTCTCTCATTATCAGACTACAATATAAACACACAAGAACAGTGCGTTCACATATAAATTTTGTTTCCAAGGTGCATTCACCCTTGGCTTTATAGGTTATTCTGGCCTGTGTCTAATCCTTCTGCTTCCATGACCAAAGAAAGTATCTTAAATAGTCTTAAAATGCCTTGAAATGTGAGATGCTTGGGTTGAAAAAAAAAAAAAAAAAGGGGGACTGGGAGGTTAGAGGGTCATATTTCTTTAATCTGTGTGGGGAAAAAGAATGAAAAACAAAGTTCGGTGGGAAGGAGTACATGCGTTGGCTGCAGTTCACCAGGAACAAAGTGCTGCACACGTTCAGAGCAGAAACACTGAAGGAGCTTGATGTATCACTCTAAGACAGGCATGAAACAAAGGATGGAACAGCACAGAGGTGGTGTGGCCTTGCCCTGTTTAAGACAGTGAAGCTAACAGGAACTAAGCCACAGGAATGACCCAAATTGTGAGCAAAAACTGACCTTTGCTTAACTAACTCAAACTACATATTACTTTTCATTCCTCTACACATGCTAACAGATTAAAACCTGTATATGCTTTACATGAATGACTGCAGTCTCTCAAACTACACTCAAATGTGGAATGACATCACCTTTAACTTTTCACTTTTTCCCGTCTCTCAAAGAGAACAATATAGATACAGCTTAAGTGAGGCAGGAGGCTAAAGGAGACTCCACCTTTGTGAATGACTAAGAAATAGGACTCAAACACTCAACTATGCTGAGTGCTTCATTGGGAAATTTAGAAATTTGTGTATTTGTGATCATACTTTAGCCCTATAGAGCCATCTAGCAATTTAATGTCTTTGTCACTAGCTGTATAATTCATATTTTGTGTATTCACACATGCTTCTCAGGTGGTGTATTTATCACCAGCAGTCCAGTAACAACCAGCATTTCTGTTGCTCAATAAATGGCATTGTTTTGTACTTGGCCCTAAGAGTTACTGTATGCTACCAGACTTCAGATCTGGCTGCAAAAGCTCTTTGGGCACAACCAGATTTACAGTGAATTGTACTGTTTGTGCATCTGTAACTGTGATGGTTCTTATTGAGCATACCTGGACTTGCAGAGCTGAATTGGCTACCACTCAGCTGTCCCAAGTCCCTGTGGTACCTGAGATCCAGCTGGACCAAAGGAGGGTTATTTTGTGCCAAATCTCCTTCCTCTTAATGCAACAGAAAAGTTAGCCTTACTCTTAAGGCAACAAGCCATCAGGCAGACAAGAGGAATCACTTCATTTATGTGCACTTCGTGTCAGTGCAAAGAGGGATGTATTGGTATTAATACATCACCACAGAAATCCAGTCTGCCTTTGAATGTTAATAATTTTCCTACTCTCCTCTTCAGACATAATTTTAAACCACCAAATACCATCATAGAATCATCACAAAATACAATCATCGCCAAAATATGAGGCATACAAACAATGATACGAGGCTAAACCACAAGTCATTTCATATTTGAGAGTATTTTGAGTTATTCCTGATTTGTCTTCAGGATGCAGTCAGCTAAAATGTTTGAATTCCTCCTCCCTTTCCTAATCTTAGCAGAATTAGATTGTATTTGGTTTTAACACGTACAACAGAACTGCAGGAGGAGAAGCATTTATTTAAAAAAAAAATAAAAGAGAGAGGAGGGGGAAAGTAAAGTATTGCAAAACTCATAGTAATATCACAAACAACAGAGCTGACAGCTCACAGGTATCAACAAATTGTTTAAACATTGCTTGAGAGTGAACTGGGAAACACTCAGCCCTTGTGTGAAACAACTGTTTCTCCTCTGTCAGGGCCCTCTTTAAGCCAAAAGAGAAGTAGTTAGTAAAGGTATCCACTTTTTCTACAAACAAATCCCTGTGCTTGCTCCACAATAATTTTTCAGTCATACTAAGCAACTCCCATTTCCCCCACGAATCAGTCACACCTGAAAGTTCAGTGGAAGCTCAGTTTTATTCATGGTACAGAACTATATCTTTTATTTTCCCAACTGACATAGTTCTTACTGCAGACACACAAAAAAAGGCCGTACCTCATTTTTATTGAAGAAGCAACAAAA